GAGCTAATATGCAACACTTACCACTGGTCCCTAGTAAAGGCTAATATGCAACACTAACCACTGGTCCCTGTAAGAGCCAATATACTGCACTAACCTCTGGTCCCTAGTAAAAGCCAATATACTGCACTAACCCCTGGTCCCTAGTAAAAGCCAATATACTGCACTAACCTCTGGTCCCTAGTAAAAGCCAATATACTGCACTAACCTCTGGTCCCTAGAAAAGCTAATATGCTACACTGAACACTGATTCCAGGGACAAAAAATAGAACGTTTTGTGATAACCAGAATGTATTATTAGGATTGCGTGATGTATGGGCTATGTTAGGGGCGCTCGTGTCCTCCAGTAAATAAAGGAGATTTGTGTTTTTGTTTTTTTTTATTTACTGATAGCACGTCATTTCTAAATGGCAATATTTCTATCTTTTCCCCTGATAATGTTGTCTGGTATTTTTTTTTTTATTACGGGTATTATACTTCTTCTTCAGCATTCCGAACCCTTGAGGTTCAGTGCTGCATACATGCTAGTAGCCTTCCCTCACTTCGTTGAGTTGTGTTCTCTTTTCAAGTGTGTGCAGGTGTGCTTGTCTCCATATCTGCATATCTCTCCATCGTCTTCTTAATTTTCTTCGTGGTCTTTGACATTGTACCTTTATGCCGCAGCCATCATCATCATTATTCTCATCATTCTCATCATCATCATCATCATCATCATCAGTCAGACGTCAGATAGGGGTCGCATTTAATTCACCCAGGCCGCTCTATTGCATGTAACTTTCTCGATTTCTGACATGGAGTTTAGTCCAGCATTTTTTTCCCCCTCTCAAAAGAATGTTCTCACTGTGTTCCTTGGGCGTCGTCCTCGTTTTCCTTAGATCGTTAGTTTCCAATTTCAGTGCCTGTTTTGTAATCATTTGATCATTTCGTCTCAGAGTGTGCCTAATATATCTCCACCTTCTTTGCCTTATTGTAGTCAATACAGACATTTGTTCAGTCATTTCTCTGATCTCTTTAATATTTTTGAATTCGTCGCATTTTTTGTTTATGATTTTTCTCAGACATTTATTAATTTTCAAATGCTTTTAACTTCCGTTCCATATCTTTGGTGGTTCTCTAACTGTTGCTGGCAAATGTTAGTAGTATAAGAGTCAGTTTGAGCGCGCATTTCTATCGATGTTTGCAGCAACCTCCCTCTTTCTCCTTAGTAATATATCGAACGGGCTACGTCACGACTGACTTTACCGGGAGGCTGTGCAGATTGATATTCTTAGTCTCTAAGCCGACATACATTATTTAAGGCGGGTAAATCGATATTTCTTTTGTAACGGACAGACTTTTGGTCGCTGACTAAGCGGAGTTGAGGGTGACTCAAGTTTTAATGTTCGCCCATGTTTAGTTAAAGCGGTATCCGCTGTCAGCTAGGCTGCGATATGTCGTATTTTGTGTGTGTGTGTGTGTGTTTCTTAGGGGCACAGATCGATATTCTTAATCTTGAAGCTGACATATGGTGCTATTATTTAGGGCGTAGAGGGCAAATCGATACTTCTATAATAGTAAACAAATTATTTGACGCTGACAAAGCGGAATGGTGTTAAGGATGACTCATGCTCAAATTTTCACCCACGGTTGGTTAAAGGGGTGAGCTAGATTGCGATATCTCGTGTTTCTTGGTGTGCGTTTCCTAGGGGCTATTTTCAACTAATATGGTGGTCGAAGCGGTGTAAAAAGGTAAAGGTAAAGTCGGGAGATGTGAACCAGCGTCATTGCACACGGTTATAAATCATAAGTGCTCTGCCACCAATACGGACAGCTGATAAGAACTGTCCGCCTGTGTCGCCGTTCGCACGTAACTCTGTAGCTACACCGACATTCCTTTATTAACCCCAGAGTGTCGACTCTGGTACCCATTTCCTAGAGGCTGGGTGAACCCCGGAAACTGTCCGGTTTCGAACACCGACCGTGGCTGCAGCGAGTCGCAGCTGGATTTGAAAGCGATCTCTTATCGACTGCGCTAACGCGGCCACCGAAGCGGTGTCAACTATGTTAATAGCTAGGCTGCGATGTGTCGTATATGGGTTTCTTTGTGTGTCCAATAGTCTCAGTGACGTTTCTTATGAGCTATTTTTTGATTTGTTAGACCATTGGTAGAAAAACATGGTAGTCAAGTACAGGAAGTGTGGAACTTTTGACACTATAGTATTTTGTCATCGCCGGTAGTGTATAAGACAGAGAGCGGGCAACCCAGGGTCCCTTTTTGTACAAGGTCAGACCATTAAGTAATGAGACTAATTCCATAAACATTAATCAACATTTGAAGATATAACCTGTATTTTATTCAAAGTCACCACTGAAGTCCTACTCTTGAATGATATCGTTTTCCCTATGTTGGTGATTACAAGAATTCACAGTGTCGAAAAAAAAGCGACTCAGGGGGACGTAATGCGGTTTTGTCATGCGAAACACCGGAGCCGAAATTCTGTTCATAATATGGACGGTACGCAATAAGTGAACTATGACATCACTGACCGGTCTCGCGCCTACGAGATCACAGTAGACGAATACAATACTCGTGTGGCTATCAATGTCTATCTCATACTCTCCGACTGGTGGTATGTCAGTGTTTGTTAGACGGTGGCCCGTCCTAAAATAGACCGTAAGAGTTCACCTATTTTGACCTTGGCTACTTACTCGTATAATTTGAAGACGGTCCCGTTTGTAGACGTGTTGTAATTGATTCCCACTGTCGCATCTCCTCCACCCTCAGTGTCTATAATTAGCTGGTTCAAAGTGTCGATAAAACCCTCATCTGATATGTAAGACACCGGCCGGCAATATAATTTTCAGGACTTCTTTGTGTCTGTCCTTGGTTGGAGTGAACTCGATTGGAATTTCATCCTCTAGAATGTAAAAATAACTATTGGGAAATCGAATTTCAGCCAAACCGACTTCGTACTGTGAACTGAACTTGAGGGTCACCGGTAGTTTGACAAAATAGTGACCTGGTTGATTGTAGGGAAATATTTTCGGTGCAGTATTGCTGGAAGTCGGCTCTGTGGCTAAGCCGATGCGAACGCTTCGTAATGCCGGGATGCCGTGTTCGATTCCAGCAGCAGGCCATGCACCTTGCGTTGGTTTTGACAGTGGTATCAAGAAAGCCGACCGTCCAGTAAGCAATGGCAAACTATTAGACGTAAATTTGCCTTAAAAACCCACACATACAACAGCCAGTGGCTGGTTCTGCAACATCCTGTAAAAGACACGCAACTAACCTATTGCTGGGTAGCATGACGTAAACACTCATGGTTGCTTTAAGACCGTCTTTATTTTCGGGTTTGGTAGTATATAACCCACACACCTTGACAAGAGCACGACCCATAATTTCCCATCTGGTTCGCTAGCCGATACGTACATCATATTAAATGAGGTCGTATAACCAAACCACTTGACTAAATATTCTTTACCACCACTGATGCCTCGTCTTTGTTGTAGAGGTAGCAGCCCGCTTTTACTTGCCAGATCTTAAATATTACCCATTTTAGGTTGGGTCAAAATCAGAAAATAAAAAGTGTATTTTTTTTAAAATCTTCTTGTCGTGGATTCGAACTTAAAACCTTCGGTTCTGTAGACGAGCTTCTAGTCACTACGCTACCTTGGCTTCCTCTCAATCTGTTAACTATGGCATATACCGAATACGTCAGAGAAAGGGAGACAAGTTGTACGGGATCTCCATGGTGAAGGGGCCTAACCGTTTGTTTCCTGGTGGGTTCATTTCACGGACGTATCATTCAATTCAGAAGGGCAGTTTTTCTTCAGAGATCCCTGGACATCGTCGCTGAGTTGGTGCTTTTGTGCTCGCTCTCGGCAGGCGGCTAGCGGTTCTACAGAGCGAGCTAGAGCTTCAAGGGATAAAACAGAGTCTACTGAAGTTGATTTTCTCCAGTAGTAACCTAACTTTTCTTAAATGTCACAAATAAATAGGAATGCGATAGAAACAGATGCTGATCATTAGTATTTTGTGCCAAACTGCCTGACTGAATTTAAGATTAACTGAAATTGCATGTCAAATTTTCACTCCATGTCTACAAGTCTAGAGTCGCGAGGATCGACTTCAGTGCGCTGGTTTTATACTATATAGCTCAGTCTCTCTCTCTCTCTCTCTCTCTCTCTCTCTCTCTCTCTCTCTCTCTCTCTCTCTCTCTCTCTCTCCCTCTCTCTCTCTCTGCAGTAAGCTAGGGTCACACATATCACGAACTCTATAGATCCCCACGGATGACCGTAAAAGTTGCTTCTGGGAGCTGAATGATGCAGTTCGTAAAACGAGCCCAAGACTCTCAGAGATCGGTGCAAAGGGCTTGACCACTTTGTCATGGAGTTCCGTAACCCCTTTGAGTTATACATAAGTAACGTAAAACTTATACCAACTTCACAGAAAACTGGTCACTTCAAGTTGTTTTGTTCCCATGCCTGCGAAAACCAATCCGAATGTCCATCACTGTCTCTTGTGGGGACAAAAATGACAGAGACTGCAGCATTAGCAAATCCAACAGCCTAGGACAGCCATCAGAAGTGCCAACACAAACAGTCCGACACTGGAAATGCAGCTCATTGTCAATGGCAGCAGCAAATAAGACAGATCAGTAGTTGTACATTCAATTAACTGCATAATGCACAAGTTCTCTGGCGACAGGAAATTCGCCAATTCTGAATCTGCAGTTCGCAACCGAGAACACGTTGGGTACAGATGAAAAGCCTACCAAATTCAATCCTCAGCTTACAGCATCGCCCCAAGCACTCATCCCAGTAGCTGGACGACAGAACTATATCCTTTCAGTCTAAATATGCAACAGTTAACTATTGTCAGAAGCAAAAACGTGCTACCACTAAAAAATAGTAAACCTGCCTATTCTCATATTGACCGGAACACTCTCATTTATTATGCGTTACTTTTATTATTACTTACTGTGTTACTTTATTTTAATGTTTTTGGTTCTGTTTCTTTGCAGGCCATTTTAGCCTCCTCTCTCTTCTTACTCATGATGGGGATAATGACGGTACAGAAGATGTCGCTGGTAACATCGTTACGAATGCTGCTACATCCTGATGTGACCATAGAGCAAGGGTAAATGTCTAGTTAAATCAATCAGTCAATGTGGTGCCGTCCCCACAACGAAGGTTGGCTGCTATGGATCTCCAAAACGCTGAGTCTTTCTGTCTTGTATACATACTCTCTTGCTTGCCTGCCTTCAGCTGTTTCCTCTAGTATGATTTTTTAAAATAATACTTAGCGTAGTAGAATATATTTTACTTCTCTTTTTTATATTCTTTAGCAGCGTTCTAGTCATTCATATTCTGAAAAATTATATTTGATTGCTTCTGTTTGTATGTAATACGGCATATTTTTCTGTATATCCATCTACCCAGATATTCAGTATAATTTTGAACTATATCTTTTAAAAGCCTCAGCCGCATATCTTCATCATCATCATCCTTATCCTATTAAAAGAAGTAAAGATCCCTTTTCCACGCCTTTTGGCGTTTTGGGAATATAGGGCTAGACCTATATTTTTATAGACAAATCGGCACTTGATTAGTGATGTGGTCAGCATCACGCCGGCCGCCTTTACTTCCCATGACTGCTTCTGGTACCCACTCTAGGCTAGGTCGACCTCGGAGTCCAGGACATTTTTTTTTAAATACTGATCCGTTAAGACGCGAACCCACGACTTTCCGATTCACAGGCGGACGTCCAACAGCGAACGCCACAGCGACTCCCTCTTTTTTCTATTACAGGTTTAGGTTTAGACGACGAATCAACATCAAGGTACAACCAACTGCACTTAAATAAGCCAGTAAAACGGATGTACACGCAAAACTCAGGCCCTGGCACGAAACCAAAGTCCAAGTGCACATACAACCGGGACTTTCCACCGGAGCTTACAGCCTGTGAACAAAGAAGAATAAGATTTGCTTTTGTCTTATATTTATAAATCCTACTCTTTGTAACTTCAAGAGATTTAAAGCTTCTGAGTTACCCAAAATATCTGTTATAGGAATTTACTGGGGGGGGGGGGGGTGCTAATAAAAAGTGAGTTGTTGCCTACCCTTTTTTTTATACCATAGCCTAGAGTATGCGAAGATCTGGGACTTGTCACTTATCTGCTAAGGGATGCTATTGTCAGGGGTTTCATGGTGCTGGTAAAGTTAGCAAATTAGAGTAAAAAAAACTATGTTGTGTCGTTCGTTTCTGCTAGGTTATATTGGTGTGATCAGATTTGCGGATGACTTATTTAATCAGTGTGTATTGTTGCTATGTCCTAGAAATGTTTTAATATTATTATTATTATTACTATTATTTTAATATAATTCTTTTGAGACATACAGCGGCTATTGCATGTCTAAATATATCAGAGTTTGTTTTGTATTCTCAACATAATTTTTAAAACATGAATCTGCATAGCTAACAGTTGCTTTTTCATTTAAGTGTTCATAATCTAGCACTAATCCAGTTCAGCATAGAAGAGCAATACAATTAGTGCTGACATAACTGATTTCTGTACTTTCTGTGTTTTATTTCAGGTATTCCATCATTGCAATACTTCTGGTGGCACCCTATTTGTTCTCACTGTTCCTAATGGCATGGAACATTCCCATTTTGAGAAAGCCCAAAGACTTCAGTATGCCTTCAACGGTGAACATTATTACGGTGGGTGGTGTTACCAGAAAGGTTTCTTATATATGTGCAATGAACGTTAATGTTGATGTTGTTGTTCTGCTTTTATGTCTTTGATCTTCTTTCTTTTGTCCGTATCTGGTTTGTGCCGTTAGGTGTTGCGATTTCAATGATGATAGTTAGCCGAGACAGGGTGCACTCAGATGATTTCTATGCTGGGATGTTGTGAGGTCGTAACTGTTGGTGATTCCTTGAATTCAAATTTGTCTAGGTCTCTCTCTCTCTCTCTCTCTCTCTCTCTCTCTCTCTCTCTCTCTCTCTCTCTCTCTCTCTCTCTCTCTAGCGCGCGCGCTCTGTGTGTGTGTGTGTGAGTGTGTGTGTGTGTCGTTGTGTTTCCATTGTCATGCTATACGCACTCGCTGCTGGCATCCTTTGATTCATTCTGATATCGTCTTGGTGATGGGTATCAGAAGAAACCAGCAGAAAATCACCAGATAGGCATTACAATTATAAATAAAAGGATTAAGGAGGCGAGGACGCCCAAAAGAACTCCCAAAACGAACATTGATGAAAGAGGCCAAAGCTACTGGACTGGAGTGATATTGACCTGATTTCATAGGACAACACAGAATATATGCAAAAACTGCCAGTCCTATGTGACATATAATGGCACAACACGATAATGAGGTTGATGGTTATTGTTCCTGTAGTTCTAATCTCTTCATTTCTCATACGATCTCTTCTGTTTTTGTTTCCAGCCTTTCTTAAATATCTAATTTCTAAGGTGCTTAGATTTTCCTATCTCTCTTTTATAGTCTCAACTATTTCAGCCACTGTTTACTAGCATGGCCAGTTGTTTGGTCTATTTAATGAGTTGTACGATAAACGAAGAGACAAGGCTAGAATTGTGCTTGCAAGACACGGTCAAAGTGAGCTTCTAGGATGTAGAGAACCAGAACTAAACTGTCATTTCCAGAAAAGGGATTATAATAACCGTTTAGTGTTCTTTTCATTAACCGGAATTATGCGGTTCTCGCACAGAGATTGTTTCAGTAACCTTCAGGTCACAGGACAGTCAAATATTTCAGGGGGTGGTAGATAGGCGCATGCAGTTGTAGGACCTAGGAAACATGCAGTCGTGGAGCCTAGGCTGCACTCTCTCGTCGGACGTAGGTGGGTTGGGGTTAGGGCCAGTTCTAGATGTTTTGGGGTCATTAAAAGCATCAGAAAGCCGGAAAACCCAGTCTTATCACCCTCTAAAATGTAAGACTGTCCTGTGACGTCATCTGAGGTAGGATATTAATAAAGCACCAAACATTCTTGTATTGGATTTTCAACTTTAATATTTGTGACCTTTCAATCTGTCGATTAAAATTCAAACTGTTTAATTGATAAACTGTAAGTTGCATTTAAGTGCAATGGCCTCAACATTGACTGGTAATAATGGAAGAGACTATCACAAATGTCCTGACTGACATGGTCCAGGCACTTTGGTGTGCTCCATAATCTGTTTAAATCACCATTGATCCCTAGCATCATAATAGCTAATAGACTGAAATGGTTGGAGCATATTGAAAGAATGTTAGATGACAGAGAAGTAAAAACTGAATACACAAGGGAGATGAATGGTCGTAGACCACGAGGCAGACCAAAAAGACTATGGAGAGATAATGTCCAGAGAGAAAACACTTGGTGTCACCAACTGGAAAGAGAAGGCCAACCAGAAAGATGAATGGAGGCGGGTGATATTTGCAGCAATGAACCTTAAGTGCTAGGAGTACTGAAGAAGAAGAAGAAGTCCTATAATATTATGGGTGGATGTTTTGTATGCTGGTTGGATTTTCGATTTTTTGTTTGGTTTGTCGACTGGTTCGTTAATTAGTTGATTGGCTGGCTGGCTGGTACGCAGGCAGGCAGCCAGTCGTGAGTGTTGGTTGGGTTTAGTTAGGTTTCTTTTCTATTTGGTTGGTTGTAAATGCCCTTGGTCAGAGTCAGAGGGGTGTCATGTTGTACTGTTTTCTGCGAAAAGAGTCTCTCGTGGAACCTAGGCTCAGGCTGTGGGTAGCAGGGTTTGGGCTTGGGCCAGTTCTAGATGTTCTCGGCTCGTTAAAAGCTGTGTTGTCATGTAGTATAGAACACGCGACATCGGCGCTGACGTGACACCCCTCTGACGTAGAACAATCTGAGAAAGCATGAATTAAAGGTAAGTCAGTGTGTAGATGGGCCAGGAAACGTGAATAGGACTGACTTTGTTTCATTGCAGGGTGTATGTGCTGCAGTGGTGGAGGCCTTCTGTGTTGTTGTATTTACAACACGTGTCATGGCGGTACTGCCTGTGTTTGTTTCGCTGCCAGCAACTCATGGAGTCTTGGCCGTCTCCGCAGCTACTGAAGCAGTTAGTCGCAGCTGTGTATGTATAATATCATTATTTCTTGACAAATAAGCAATCGTGCATTCTAAAATGAAATGCCACAGAAAGATTCTCAGAATACCATGAATCAAGAAAACATAAAATTGTTGTTTTTTGTAACTATCTTAACACACAGGAGGACTGGTTTGTAAGCAGCATTCAGAAAAACCTTACCCATAATAGAAAGCATGTACACACAACACTAAGATTCTGGAGCAAGACTAAAGACCATAATATTTCGATGCTATTGGTGATGTTAATGTTGTGGCGGAGCGGCTAGACGCTTGCCTGGGGATCGGAAGTTCTTGGGTTCGCTTCCTGGAGGAACCAGAGTTTTTTTTCAAAAATGACCTTGACTCCCAGGTCGACCCAGCCTTGAGTGGGTACAGGGTGCTGCCCCGGGAAGTATAGGCGGCCGGCGTGATGCTGACCACATCACCCATCTTGTGCCGATTGGTCTATACAAATATAGGTCTAGCCCTATATGCCCTATACGCCTAAAGGCGTGGAAAAGGGTCCTTTACTTACTTTTTCTTTTATTGGTAATGTATACTATTACTTGATGAATGAAAGAAATGATGTATGAAGATAGAGACTAAAAGAGCAGACGGTTAGACCGACCTGCGTGTCCAATTCGTAATCATTTTGTTCGTTCTTTCGTTTGTTCTTCATAGCTCGCCAAATTAAAAACTAGGGCCATATCAAACGTCGCAGTAGCTTGAACAGAACAATAGCGGATGCCATGGTGCTGGGAGGAACCGACCAACACCAATGTAGATAAGTTCATGAGACAGTGTAGAGCTAGCGAGGAACTGGATTTCTTTCAGAAAGGCTGTGAAAGGAGCGACGTTCTGTAAGGGACCTGCTACATGAGGATACTGGTGTTTTGGGATGTGTGTTGTGCCTTTATTATTGCAGATATTGTTTATATCAATGCTGGGAAGGGAAAGAGGTGAGCGAATGTGATACTCCGCAGGACAGCAGGCTACTACGTAACCGTAGTGCACTCTAATTAAATAGTTTACTCTGGAATTTTCTCGTTTTGATTCTCATCCTAAAAGCGGTAATTTTAGTCGTTGTAAGTTAATCTTTCAAGTGCAATACTGGTGAGAAAGAAAGAATAAGAGATTCACTATTTCTGGTGTTGAGCTTTTTGCTTACCCTCTTTATATTGCTAGTATCCACTTATGAATAGCAGTCCAACTGCAGGACATTTTCTGCAGCGGGATCAATTGTACAGCGATATCTTCTTCTTCTTCACTGGCTGTAAACTTCATCGGAAAATTCTGCTTGTTCGTCCACCTCTTGTTCTAGAAGCTGACGATGTGATCAAGACGCTCACCCTGCCCTATGAAGGTCGTCGATTCGTTTCATGGTGGTTCTGTTTAGTTCACGAGTACAATTTCTACGGAGATCCCTGGGGATCATCGCCGGAGCTACGGAGGTCGTGCTCCGCGCGACACTCTCGGCAAGTAACTAGCTGTTCTGCGGAGAGTGGCTGCGCCATATGGGATAAAACCCTATACAATGAAGTCGATCCTCTGACCTTCACCTCTACTGGCATAAAGGCTGATGACTTCGAATACATACCCTTACATGCAGAGTAACCGTGGTGTAACGGCTAGACGCTCACCTCGGATATGAATGTCGTCGGTTCGGTCCTGAGGGAGCCAGCATTTTATTTAAAATGACCTTGGCTCCCAGCGAAAAAGAAAAGAAAAGAAAGAAAGAAAGAAAGAAAGAAAGAAAGAAAGAAAGAAAGAAAGAAAGAAAGAAAGAAAGAAAGAAAGAAAAAGAAAGAAAGAAAGAAAGAAAGAAAGAAAGAAAGAAAGAAAGAAAGAAAGAAAGAAAGAAAGAAAGAAAGAAAGAAAGAAAGAAAGAAAGAAAGAAAGAAAGAAAGAAAGAACGAAAGAAAGAACGAAAGAAAGAAAGAAAGAAAGAAAGAAAGAAAGAAAGAAAGAAAGAAAGAAAGAAAGAAAGAAAGAAAGAAAGAAAGAAAGAAAGAAAGAAAGAAAGAAAGAAAGAAAGAAAGAAAGAAAGAAAGAAAGAAAGAAAGAAAGAAAGAAAGAAAGAAAGAAAGAAAGAAAAAAAGAAAGAAAGAAAGAAAGAAAAGAAAGAAAAGAAAGAAAAAGGGCACAAACTGGTGGGAGTGAAAACAAAAACCAAGGGCGCAAACAATAAGATTTTTTTTTTAAAATGCATTGAAGGAAGAGGAGCGGCTATCTGAACGGTTAGAACTATGGGCTTTCAAAGCGGGAGACCCGGGTTCGACTCCCCGGTAAGGCTGGGGATTTTTTCTGTCGGAGGTTAAATAAATCCTCACCTGCACAGTCGTGGCGACAGCACTAGCCATGCGGCCGTAAATCTACAGGCTTAAAGACCCCCCCCCCCCCCCCTCCCCCTGCCTACACCGCAAAAGTCGTATAATAAAGGCAGTGATTGGCAGTTTTTTTTTTTTTTTTTGATTATTGAAAGAATGAAATGATTCTACGTCACCTTAAACTAACAACATCCACTGAATGCAATTATACTGTTAAAATTTAACCTCCCTCAGAAATCTTCAGCAAAGCTCACGGTTAGCGATCAAAGCAGCAACAGAACAAAGGCAAGTCACAAGTCCTTCCTCTGCGGCGGAGCTCGGATCCTGGCATCCA